TGAGATATTTCACTCAGCATAATGCCCTCCAGGGTTACCCATTTTTAATAACATTGCATGAGTTCCTTGTTTTTCAATGCAGCATAGTATTCCATTGTGTAAATATACCACAGCTTCTCTATCCATTCATTTGTTGATGGGCACTTAGGTTGTTTCCAACTCTTTGCTATTGTAAGCAAAGCCACAATAAACATGGGTGTGCATATATCTGCCTGAGTGGCAGTTATGGTTTCTTTAGGGTATATTCCCAGTAGAGGAGTTGCTGGGTCAAATGGAATTTCTATTTGCAACTTTTTGAGAAAGCACCTCACTGCCTTCTATAGTGGTTGCACTGTTTTACACTCCCACCAACAGTGAATATGATTTCCTTGTTTTTCAGTGCTGCATACTATTCATGTGAATATACTAGAGTTTTTCTATCCGTTCATTTATTGATTGGCATTTGGTCTGCTTCCATCTCTTTGCCATTGTGAACACTGCAGCAATGAACTGTGCTTATATCTGTTTTACTTGGCATTTCTTAAGCTGAAGATACTGAAAATCAAATACAAGTTTTGACTTGCAGTACTTAGAGATTCTATGAGCAAAATTTTGAATGACCCATGAAGCATTAAAATAATATGGGGGGGAAGGAGAAGACTAAATTGAGGGAATACATAGAATTATCATGCCAAAAAGAATTTTCTGACACTGAAATATTTCAGGAAGTATCATATGATCTAGAGCCAATGATAAGAAAGGTAGAAGTTCAAGCTACAATTAAGACATTGGCAGAAAGTAAGGCTCCAGGAATTGGTGGGATACCAGTTCAAATATTTCAACTAAGGCATGCAGCCCTGGATGTGTTCACCAGTCTATGTCAGTGAATTTGGAGTACAGCTGACTGGAAGAGATAAATTTTTGTTTCATTTCTCAAGAAAAGTGATCAAACAGAATGTGGAAATTATAGAACAATATTATTGCTATCATATGCGAGCAAAATATTGCTGAAGATCATTTTAAAAAATGGGTAGAATAGTACATTGACAGAGAACTTCCAGAAGTTCAAGCACCAGGGATATCATTGCTACTGTCAGATGGATCATGGCTGAAAGCAAAGAATACCAGATGAATGTCTATTTGTGCTTTATTGACTATGCAAAGGCATTTGGACTGTGTGGATCATAGCAAATTATGGCCAACATTGAGAAAAGTGAGAAGACCATAACTTTAAATTGTACTCATGTGAAACGTACACCTGGACTAGGAAACTGTTGTGAAAACAAAGCAGGGTAACACTATATGGTTTAAAATTAAGAAGAGCATGAATCAGGGTTGTATGCTTTCTCCATACCTAGTAAATCTGTAGGTTTAGTGACATATTTGAGAAACTGAATTTTTTTAAGAACAATGTGGCATCAGGTTTAGAAGAAGGTGCATCAATAACTTTCAGTTTGCCTATGGTACAGCCTTGCTTGCTGAAAGTGAGGAGGATTTGAAACACTTGCTGCAGAAGAACAACACTGCAGCTTTCAATATGGATTGCATTTCAACATCAAGAAAACAAAAATTCTCACCATTGGAACTATAGACTTACTGACAACCACTTCATATGCTTGGATACACAGTGAATACCCTCAATACCAGCAGTCAGGAGATCAAGAGACATATTGTACTTGGACAGTTTTCAGTTAAAGACCTCTCCAACTTATTGAGAATGATGTCAGTTTGAGGACTAAGGAGTGCCTGATTCCGGCCATGATCTTTTCAGTCACTTGGTGACTAAGTGAGTAAAAATGACAGAAGAAGAATTGATGCCTTTGAACTGTCATATTAGAAAAGAGTACTGAATATCACATGGACTTACAAAAGAACAAACAGATCTGTCTTAAAGAAGGTGCAGCCAGAGTACTCCTTGGAAGCAAGGATGATAAAGCTTCATCTCACATACTTACGGTTTGTTGCTAGGAGAGCTTTATCTTGGAGGTGGAGAGGGACATCATGCTCAGAAAGGTGGAGGGATAGGGAGGGAGAAGAAGACTCTCAACCAGGTAGATTGGCATAGTTACTGTGGCAATGGACTTGAGTATATCAGAGATTGTAAGGTTGGCCCAGGATGTTAGAGTTCAGCTCTTTTATTTATAGGGTTGCTATGAGACATACTCGATTTGAAGGCGCCTAACAACAGCAATATAGATTGACTCAGTAGTTGCAACAATAGTCTGGAGCACAGCAGAGGTTTTGGGGATGATACAGGATTGGGCAAGATTTTGTCCTCTTCCAAGTAGGGTTGCTATGAGTCAGAGCTGACTTGATGGCCTCTGACAACAGCAACATTGGAGAAAGGAACTCTGGTAGCATAGTATGTTATGTGTTAAATTGCCAACCAAAAAGTTGATGGATTGAATCTGACAGCTACACTGTTAGAGAAAGATAGGCAGTCTCTTCCCATAAAAAGGTTTACAGTCTCAGAAACCCAGTGGAAGTTTTCCCTGGGTCAGTGGTGGGTTTAGGGAATTTGGAATGTTCAGAAATCCAAATGTAAACTATTCCATTCCTCTGTAATGTTGCTTTTTGTTTTTCTATTTAGATTCTCCCTGATTTTACGGGTATGGTGGATAGAGTCTAGAAAATTTGGTTGGTATGTGCTGTTGAGTCTCCTGTAACTCATAGTGACCCAACATACGATAGCTCTGAAGCCAGCCCTGTCCTGAGCCAGTCTCACTGAATCTAACACACCTAACATCGCCTTAATCACTGTATCAATCCATTTCATCCAGGTCTTCCTATCCTGCGCTGTCCCTCCATCCTTCCAAGAATGATGTTCTCCAAAGATTGGTGCCTCCTAGCCACATGCCCAAAATATGTAAATACATAAATCCTAGCCTCCCAGGAGAAACTTGGTTTCAGTCTCTCCAAGACAGACAGACCTGTTTGTTTTCTTGGTGGTTCATAGACTCCAGCAACACAATTCAAAGGCATCAATTCTTCTATCATCCTTAGTCATTACCTAGCTCTCTGACGCATAGCAAGTAATTACAAACACCATGGACTGAATCAGTACACCTTAATGTCTAGACTGACATTGTTGCTTCTCAGTACTCTGGAAAGGTCTCTAACAGCACATTTACTCAATGCAGTTTGTCTTTTTTTGATTTCCTGATGACTGGTGCCAAGAGTTGTTGATTGTGGAACCGAGCAAGCTGTAACTGTTAACAAACTCAATCTCTTCTCCATCTATCATGGCGCCACTTGGGTCAGTGCTGAGAATGTTTGTCTTCTTGATGTTGAGCTTTAATCCATATTAAAGACTACAGTCCTTGACCTTCTGTAGCAAGCACTTCAGGTCCACCTAAATTTAAGCAAGCAAGACATTTCCAACTTAATATTCTGGATTGTATTTCAGTGTTTGTTGTTTCTAGTACTGTGTTGGTTGTACTCTGTCTTGTGATGATTTCCTCTACTCCCCCAACCCCCCCTCTCGTCCACCCCCCACCCCACCCCGCCGATTTCTTGTTGCTCTTTACATGTGGCTTCGTTTTTTCATGTTTGGTCGTAAGTGGATGGGGGAAGGGGCAGGGGGAGGACAAAGTCTAGAGGGGGAGCTAGGAACTTCTCAGGAATTCCACCTCAAGGACTCCTCCCTCTCCAGATCTAGGTGGTTGTTACTCCTCGTGTCTTTTCTTGTTTTTACCTTGGAGTTTTAATTAAACCAGTATGTCTCCAAATATACTTTAAAAGGTTATTGGCAGAAAAACTGTACTTCAGTAATTGATATGTACACAAGTACATATTTACCTTTTTGTTATTTATAAGACCATAAAGATAATGGGAATATAATTTGAAGCACCAAATTGAAACAATTTAAAAAGTTTTTTAAGAAAACCTTTTCCAGCAGGAATTTAAAACGTCTTACTCATTTTAAAATGCATCTTGAAATGTTCTTTTAAAGCTGTGCAATGGAGGCTCAGTGACTGATCTTGTGAAAGGATTTCTGAAGAGAGGCGAAAGAATGAGTGAGCCTATAATTGCCTATATTTTACATGAAGCACTCATGGTAAGACATTTTTAATTGTTTGTGCATTAATTATGAGGCATTTATATTTAAATTTTAAAATTGGAGTTCTGTTTTTAGAAAAATATAACTACATTAATATTTATTATGCAAGAGTATATGCAAAATGTCAAATGTCTGGCATAGCGAATTTCTTTCCCATTAGAAATCTACCCTTCCTGTGTCAACATAACCCTAAATCTGAACTCTTAACAGTGTTTCTGGGTTATTATAATGATCAAGATAGATAATGTGTAGTTTTACTAATAATTAGATTTTTTGCTTTTAATTTGTTATCATGATTGGAAGTTTACTAAGTAGATTGGTATTTTATTCAGTTGTTGGTACATCTTTGTTTTATGGCATAGTTTACAATTCCTATATTCTGCCATTGCTCCTTCCCTCATCATACTGTGGTCTTGTCTTCAGTCATCCTTCTGTCCCCTTCCTTCTTGCCTTCTGTACATTATTCCTAGGCAAATGCTGCCCTTTTGATCTTGTTTAGTTTGTTGTTCAAAGGAATGAGTGCTTCCCTAGTGTTACTGTTCACCTTATACATATTTTATTTCCTTCTGTACATTATTCCTAGGCAAATGCTGCCCTTTTGATCTGGTTTAGTTTGTTGTTCAAAGGAATGAGTGCTTCCCTAGTGTTACTGTTCACCTTACACAGATTTTGTTTGGCTGAAGGTTGTACCATAGCTATGAGTTCAGTTCCAGATTCTGAGAGAGGCCAAGGGCCTTAGTCAAAGAAGTTCTACCACTCTTTATTAGACCAGTAAAGCTGGCTATTTTTATCATTTTTCGTTTTCTTCTACCTTCCATTTTTCTCCCATTCTATCTAGGACCCTCTATTATAGTGATCCCTTTCAAAATAATAGTTTACTATGTGTTTCATTGACTATGCAAAGGCATTTGACTGTGTAGATCATAACAAACTATGGTTGACTCTGAGAAGAATGGGAATCCCAGAACACTTGATCGTTCTAATGCAAAACATATACTTGGACCAGGAGGCAGTCGTCAGAACAGAGCAAGGGAACACTGCATGGTTCAAAATTGGGAAGGGCGTACGCCAGGGATGCATCCTATCTCCATACCTTTTCAACCTATATGCAGAACAGATTATCAAGGAAGTGGGGCTCTATGAGGAGAAATGTGGGGTCAAGATTGGTGGACGATTTATCAACAACCTGTGTTATGTGGATGACACAACTCTGCTTGCTGAAACTGAAGAGGACTTGAAGCGCCTGCTGCAGAGCGTCAAGGACTGCAGCCTACAATATGGATTGAGGCTCAATGTCAAGAAGACAAAGATTCTCACTACTGGACCAATTGGCAGCATCAGGATGGATGGTGAAGAGATTGAGATTGTACACAGCTTTAGTTTGCTTGGCTCCACAGTCAACAGTCTTGGCACCAGCAGCCAGGAAATTAAAAGGCGCATTGCCATGGGAAAGTCTGCTGTTAGGGACCTCTCCAAAGTGCTGAAGAGCAATGGGGTCTCTCTGGAGACTAAGGTGCGTCTGATACAGGCCATGGTCTTTGCAATCACTTGTTATGCATCAGAGAGTTGGACAATGACCAGGGAGGATAGAAGGAGAATTGATGCCTTTGAGATGTGGTGCTGGAGAAGAGTATTGAGAATACCATGGACTGCTAGGAAAACAAACAGATTTGTCCTGGAAAGGGTTAAACCGGTTGGCTCCTTGAAGGCAAGGATTCTGAGGCTCCGTCTAACATACTTTGGACATGTTGTAAGGAGAGACCGGTCCTTAAAGTGGGGCATCATGCTTGGGAGGGTGGAGGGACGGCGCAGGAGAGGAAGGCCCTCTATGAGGTGGATTGATTCAGTGACTGGGGTAATTGGGATGGGAGTGTCGGAGACAGTGCGATTGGCACAGGACAGAGCAGAGTTTAGGGCTGTTGTACAAAGGGTCGCTATGAGTCGCAGGCGACTCGACGGCACATAACAACAACAACATTGTAATTTGACTCGACGGCACATAACAACAACAACATTGTAATTTTTAAAATTTATTACATAAATATTTAGGATGTTTTCTTGAGTTCAATGTCTTTTAAAACATTTGGTAAAAGCTTTGGTTTTATAGTGTATAAGATATTTTTGGGTAGTACACTTTGATTTAATGAAAAAAATTTGAAATGCTTTTAAATGTTTCAATGGTAACTTTAACATATTTCTCTTCATTTTGCATAAATGTATCAATATGAAAGTCAATTTTCTTTTTGATGCTTCCTTGGAAAGTCACTATATCATTTCCCAAATTCTAGGGACTTCAGCATTTGCACAACAACAAAACTATCCACCGTGATGTAAAAGGAAATAACATCTTATTGACCACTGAAGGTGGAGTTAAACTGGTTGATTTTGGTAAGTTAAGTTTGAAATACATACGTTAAGGCTACAAAATGAACTAGTATCTGATATTAAAGTGATATTATTTGCATATAAGATAATGCTTATATTTCTACTCTCCATAGCAAGTGTACATGATTTTAGTTCACTCATTAGGATTTGATGATTTTAATTTCTATTAAATGTGGTAAAGTTTCTCAAGGGCAGAAGGAATAAGATGTGATAAACGTCAAACTTCAGAATCAAATTACAGATCAATAACTTCCCTTTATTCTTAAATCAAAATTTCCCTGAAGGTGGGGAGTAGTGGATTTGAGAACGTATTTTATTTTAATTTTTCAACTTATAAAATAGACTGTAAGCTCATTATTATTTTAGTTTTTCAACTTATAAAATAGACTGTAAACTCATTATTAGCTCTCTGAAGATCGGTGCCTGGATGGCTGCCAAGAACCTGCTACTCAAGGCATCCAAGATTGAGCACCAGCACCTCGTTCATCCTCTAAAGACTGTTCTGCATCAACAGTTTCTTATAAAAAGTTCCCAACATCTGCCTTATTACTCAAGCCAGGCATCTTAGGGCTTTCCCATGTCTTCACCCCCCACATAGACAATCAGTCATCAAATTCTACCTCTCTAATAGAGATATCCAGGCTTCATCTTCACTACTGCTGCCTTAATCTTACTCACCATCTGTTGTTTGTGTCTAATTTTGTTCCCTTCCGTTTAGTCTCTTCTCCACCTTGTGCTCAGGGAACTCTTTCCAAAGACATTTTTTTTTATCATACCACTCCCTTGCTCAGTAGTCCATTCAAAGGTTCCCTCGAGCCCTGAAAAGAGCTCAACTTATTTTAAACCTTTAAATATGCTACACTCTTGAGATTTTTATACATGGAATTGGAGGAGGGAGATCCTGAGTCGTGCAAATTGTTAACACACTTCCGCTCCTAGCTAAATGTTTGGAAATTTAAGACTACCCAGAAGCTCCATGAAAGAAAGCTCTGCTGCCTCCATCGGGAAATTCAACTACTGAAAACATGATGGAGGCCGTTTTACTCTGAGCTAAGTTTGAAGAACTGGGTAACTGGCAGAACTAAGAGAATACTTTGAAAAGTACTAACTTGCTTTTTTTTTTTCTCTCTCTCTCTCTCTCAAAACATGATCTTTACCCCAGTCACTCTAAGACATCTCTCTCTGGGAAGAGATTATTACTTCTTCAAGAAGGAATACTGGGGAATGGGGGGTGTAGGAGTGAGGTGGCAGTAAATGGAGGTAATATACAGTATCCAACATGAAAATATAGTAAGATCTGTCTAAGTTGCCTTATCATCTTTTTAGCATGTGGAGAGATCATTTTCCAGGGTTAAACCATAAGCTTCATTTAAGGAAGCGGAACCTTCTCAATTCCAGGGCCTTGTTGAAAGAAGAATGTGGAAAGCAAGAAAGAGAAACACACTTTAAATAAGTGAAGATGACTGAGGGAACAGAAATGTTTCTCATGCATGCTTCCTATGCTCACTTTCTCTTCTCAGTCGCATGCTGCCTCCCCTCTACTCTCCAATTTGACATTGAAGAAGGTCTCAGTACAGGTGAGAGTGACCCAAGTTGTAATCACCTTGGATGTACAGAGCAATTAGGTAAAGAGAAAAACTCATATTTGTCTTCCCTATAGCCTTACCCTTAGTTTCTGTAATCTTAGAAGTAACTGAGAATCTAGCTGAGAAGATTCTAGAGGAGGTCACCCTAAGGGTGAAGAGCCTGAGTCATAAGACCACAGAACAAATCATCGAGCTAGATCTGAATGGGAGACATAACCAGACTCAAAGTATTTTCAACTGCAGCTGGAATTAACCAGCATTATAATAACACAGGAAGTCCTGTTGGAACCACACCTACACCAGAAATAACCGCAGGTTCTCTAGATGCAAGCCCCACTATGGGAGGCTTGTAAGTACCCTGCAACCAGGTAGACAAACACACGCTACTTCAGGGACCAGCTATACCTGAGGACCTTACCTGTCCCCCTGCCTATTCAGTCTTAAAATCCTACAGACAGTACCATCTTCAAAGAGAGAGGGATTCATCTAAGACATAGAGAATTGTCTCTCCTTATTCAAGATAGACAACTCTTATATGAAAGGCTTATGGATGTAGTAGATGTGAATGAGCTATACTTGCCTCCTGAGCCAGTGGGTAGTATGTTAGTAAGTAGGGTGAGATCATATTTATTATAAGCACGATGAAGACATTCCAAGTTCTCTGTGTTATTGTTGTATTGTTAGTTGTTGTTTAGTCAGCTTCTAATTCATGGCAATCCCACATATGGCAGGGTCTGAAGGTTATGATCCATAGGATTTTCACTGGGTGATTTCCTAAAGTAGATTGAGAGGCCTTGCTTCTTAGTCCATCGCAATCTGGAAGCTCTGCTGAAACCTTTCCAGCCTCATAGCAATATGCAAGTCTCAACTGAACCAAATCCCTATCCAAGTGTCTTGGTAATTTCATAATCAGTCAAAAATCTGATGCTTCTTCTGCATAAAAACTTCATCTCATTCATTCACTCAGCTCCCTTCAAAGGGAGGTCTCTTCCTGGTGTACCATTTTATCCTGAGAATCAAGCATGAACAGTGGCATGTTGAAATTACTCAATAAGTCTGACTGAGTGAGAAAAATAAGTGAGAGACAGAATTTTCTTACAGTTGCGTGACCATAAGAAGTCACTTAAAATTTCCAAGCACATCATTCTGTTTGTGACAAAGAGCAGCACCCAGCACAGAGGGCTGGTTGATACAAGGAGTAAATGAGATAATAGAAGCAGACTGCATAGCTTAATTCCTTACACTTTGTAAGCTAGCTGTTACCATTGTTGTTCTTGTTAGGTGCCATCAAGTCGAGTACAACTCATAGAAACCTTGTAAACAGTCAACTTGAACCCTGCCGTATCCTGTGCCATCCTTGTAATCTCTGACACCAAAGAGTCCATTGCTGAAGTCACCATGTCAGTCCATCACGAAATAATGTTCTCTAGCTCAATTTGGCTCCACAAATAACACCCTTGGTATCAGCGGTCAAAAGATTAGATGCATTGGGAAAATCTGCAATGAGGGACTTCTCCAAATTGCTGTGAAGTAATGATGTCAGTTTAAAGACTAAAGGGTGCCCAATTCAGGCCATGGTTTTTTTCAGTCATTTGCCTATGTGTCTGAGACTTGGACAATGCATAAGGATGACAGAAAAATTATAAATGCCTTAAGATTGTGGTATGGAGAAGAAAATATCCCAGGGACTGCCAAAAAAAGCAAGCTGATAATAATGTTTTGGGGAAAGTGCAGCCAGGGTGCTACTTAGAGGTAAAGATGGCAAAGCTTTGTCTCACTTACTTTGGGAAGTTTGTTAGGAGAGGCTATTCCTTGGAAACAGACATCATTCTTGGAAGGGTGGAGAATCAACGAAAAGGAGGAAGATCCTCACTGAGATGGACTGACACAGTAACTGCAGCAGTGGGCTCAAGTGTGTCAAAGATCATAAAGATGGCACAGGACATGAAAAGTCTCAGATCTGTTGTTCATAAGGTCACTATGAGTTTTACTCTACTTGCTGGCACCTAACAACAATGGCATATGCATAGTAAATATTTGATAAATATTGCTGGTAAGATGTTTTTCTGCAAACCCAAAGGCACATAGTTTGAATTTATTACCTGCTTCTATCTCCTCCTTTGTCATTTTAACCTCTGAATACCCACCGAAAGTTCTACTATAACTTGGTTCTAATTTGATAGCATATAACAGACAATGAAAATCTAAGTCCCTAAAATCAGTACTTTGTATTATATAAATGACCACTGGAAATTGTCATTTTAGGAACAATGTAATTCTACCTTTGGCTAGCTCTTAACTTTGGAGCACCAAAATGAAAGATCTGCCCTTGAAATAAGCCTGTGGAAAGTAGAATCTGGTTATGCACGTTGAGACATGGTCAAGATGAAAGATTGAGTCCCACATAATACTCTCCAGGAGATTTGCATTTCAATGGATTTGTGAACCCATATTGGACTGTTGATGGAAGAGATTCACATTTGTATGAAAGGGTATACAGGAAAGAAAAGAAGTGGGGAGGGAGAGAAAAGGAAGAGATTATCCTTTTATAACTAGTACAAGCTGTTAAGCTCCTGAAGTGCAGTAAAGTTGGCACCCATCAAACCTAACCTCCAAGACGAGGTAGGAGTGTGCCCACTGATCACTTGAATCCACAGGATTGGCAAAGAGAGGAATATAAAGGAGAAATAGGCTGAGCTTGGACATTTTCCTTCATCACTGTCCACCTAGAAGAAACCTAGTCTGTTGACTTCGTCTCACATAGTAGCTCACTCTGAGTGAGGAGACTAAGAGGTATGCAACACAAGGAGAAGTATAGACTCCTGAGCGAGCAACTGGTACTCATTTTACCCTAGCCATTGACGGCTGAGAAGGAGTTGACCAGAACACAACCAGATGAGAAGTTGATCCATGGCGTGGACTAGGGTTGATTGCTGCAAACTGATGGCTTGCTCTGGACTGGACAGTGTTTATGGATGCAGATTCTCCAAGTTTCCAAGTTGAACAGAGGCTCCTTCAAAAAAAGGAATGTGTTTGTTTCCTCAGAGTACTGGTGTGATAGGGATAGGCAAATCAGCAGTTTGCTATCTAAAAAGGGGGATATTAGGCATGAATTAGGCGACTTACCTGCTTTCCCAAATGTAGATATTGGTGAGATGATTATAAGGAAGGGGGAAAAACACACCACAATATAAATGAATTAAATATAATGTAAATGAAGGGCTGTGTGGAACACAACATACATGAATTAAATACAATGTATACAAACAATAAAAATATTAATTGAAAAAGCAACCCTATTCTGAAATAAATTTACCATTACTTTATATATCAGGCTACTTGTTGCAGGATCACCTTCCAAACTGGTAATTCTTTCTCTCAATAGCTGGAAGGACAGAACAAGAGCTCAAATTTACT